GGGTCAACAATTAAATTTATTTGCATATTTCATGAGATCCACAACTTTTATCAACTTTTCAAGCACATATTTGATCGACTTTTTATCAAAATCTGTTAAATCCTCTATGAAAAAACTTTGTCAAACAATCTTTAAGTGTACCTGCAGAGGACAGCCATGACGAATGTCATTGCAGGAAGCATATTGCTCATTGCACATGAGAAAGTAGGGGAAGTAAATTTGAGTCCAGCATAGTAGAAGTTCTGATCAATAACTGGCCTGTAAACAAAATTCAAATTGGAAACATGAAACTTTTATTTTATTTTCCTACAAACTGAAAATTAGTCACACACAACTTAAAATTTATATACTTACCCAAGAAGTCCCAACACAAACAGCTGCAGGAAAATTGGAAATGTTATCTTTGGCCTCATTTTCCTGTTGATTAACAAAAAAAAAGATAATAATGAACTGTAAAATACTGGACAGCATAACCGAAGTCCAAAGAACCAAATCCCAGAATCTTCTATACCAAAATACTGCCTAAAATCTTAAAAAATGGGTACCGTTCAAGAACGAGGGCAAAGGGCGCAATAACTGCAGTGGCAAAGGCATGTCGATAGACCACAAGCACATAGTGACTCATTCCTCTGTTAAGAGAAACTTTGGTAATTATATTCATTCCAGCATAGCCAAATTGTAAGGAAATCATGGCTATATATGGCTTAGCCGTTTCGAAAAATCTACCAAGGCCTCCTTTTCCTTCCATTTTGAGAATGAGAAATGAAGAAAAGCAAGAATGTGAGAGGGGTTGTGTGAAAGGAAGAAGTATCAGAGGAAAACACTAAGGAATTGGTGTTTGTCCTAGGAAATTGTTGTCAAGGAACAAGAATATTTATAAGCACTACAAGCGTGTGAGAATCTCATCTCATACGTGCGACTTTTACAGTAGCCATTTGCAAGTGCATCTTGATTGAACATTCTGATTCGTTGTGTATAAATCCATGAACGGGTTATGTGAATTCCTTTTGCATTTCTTTTTTTCATAATGGCCAATTATTTTGCTTGTACCAAAAAAAAGTGAGTTTATAGTGCTTTGCTGATGCAGTTATGGGACATTTAGGTTGTGTGAAGAGTGGGACCCTTCTTAATCATCTTCTTGATGTGGCATTCCGGGAGTGTTCATCGGCCGGAATATCCGTGTCGCCGGAGTTAACAAGGATCAGAGTAAGGTGAGAAATAGATGCGTGCTCATCGTTTCTAACTTTCTCCGAAATGATGTGTTTAATTGGTATAATGATTTGGACAAGATTAAGCCCAGTTTCGCCTTCATTTCTTAAAACTTATTTTAACTACACATTTTATGGGATTCACAACTTTTATCAATTTTTCAATTATATATTTTACCAACTTCATGTACAATCTATTAAAAATCTAATTTTTATCCAAACAAAACAACGGCTAAATAAGATGGTGTAAAAATTGTACCATTATGATGTGAAAGTTTCACTATTTTTAGTGAAATGGATTGAAGATGATCTAAGAACCCTATTTTCCTTCGATGGATTCGCAAAGCAAAAGTTTGACATTTTCGAGGATTAAAAGGTCACACATATTTACAGTTTTTGTTGTTAAAATGGTATTTAAATTCTATTTCTCCACCTGGCATGCCAAGTCATGCTTAAATGTCAAAAATTTGCCATATAAGGATTGTCGAGTGCCACATAATTTTAGTTCAGTGAACGTTCCAAATTCATGTCATATTTCATTCGTATCAAACACAGTTATTTTTAAATCAAGACTGCATTAAAAACAAAGTCGACATGTTTTCTTTGTATCAAAGACTATCCTTTGATTATATACTTTGGATGTTGAGATATGTGATTTGATCGCACCATCAGAGAATTAATTCGCAGAATCTAAAGGTTGAAATTCCTCTCTATCAACATATATAATTCATTTCCACTTTGTGAATATATTTTGGTATCAATTGCGTAATCAGCTCCTAAAAGCTGGGTAATAAAGGAATCTGCCAACTTTTTTAGGATATAATTAATAATCTAGATAAAGTAAAGTCTGTATAAACATATCGTATTATCACTATTTAGAGTATGCATCTCCTCAACTGGAGGGAGATAATTAAGATTTTAATTTTTATTCTTTCTTAATTGTTGGGAATTTTGGTCCCAAACAAACATTTGGGGCTATAATGATTAAGAGTTGTGCTATGGGTACATTATGTACACCGTTCATAATGCACACCAAGAATTATTCAATGATTAATAGGTCGGAATTACGCTTCACTGGCTTTTGATGGCCAAGGAATGAAGATCGAATTAAATAGCTTGTATCCACAACTTTGGTAGCTCAATTATAAAGATAGAGTAAAGATCATCAAATAAATCACTTGGAGATTAGACAGACTCGATACTCTTGTTATTCCCAATAAGACAGCTAGGTAATAGACCGCTTCTTCCAAAGCGCGCCCCAACAGCAAGCACCAGTTTAACTTGATGGTGGTGATTTAGTAGCAGTGGATGGCAAAGTGACTTTGTTACCCAATTGCTTGGTGATTTATTCTAAACGACTCATTTACTTAAGGTAACCTAATTGTCTCTTATTTAAGGGACTTGTTCCTTTGCCCTTATAATACATTACAAACACACGGTTTTCTCCTTGGGTGGAATAAATAGTGGCTGTCTCCTTTTGCTTTGTGCAACTTGTGCCTCTGCCTTTCTTCTTCTGCCCGGTTTCTTGCTCTTTTGTAGAGCCTACGTTCATCCCCTTCTGGAGCCTCTGTGGGTTGTTTGGATTTGGTGTTTGGACCTATTTGTGGAGTTGCCTTTATGGAGATTGGGTTGTGATCTAAGACTCTGATTACACCACCAAACCGGAGAGCATATTGGAGATTTCAATTGAGAAATTTGGTTTCTTTTCAATTCTTTAATTTTGTTTTTCAATTATTGGTTTTAACTTTCGATTCGAGGTAAAAGAAAAAACCATTAATAATATTCACTATTGTATAATCCATCACACTAATCAAGTAGTGGTTTATCTTATGTCTTCAACTTTTTACAACCCGAGACCCATTTATTTTTCACGTGAGAAAAAGAAAAGAAACAAATTAAATCAACAAGACACACAATCCCACAGTTGTCTCCCACGCAGTTGTCTCCCAATTGAACCTACATTAATTTATAGTGGAATCTCACTCACATTGCCTCTTTGGAACTGCCCCAAATATTCAAACAACCTCTTGGAGGCTACTTTTTTTAACAATGTAAGATATATAATGACTCAATCGGAGGGCACCCTACCCGACCACAATATATCATATTCCCATTAAAATCTTAGTATGATATAATTGCTAAGGCCCTTTATTTTTTTGGCTGCCAAAAAACATAAATGATTTTCCTAGTTAACAAAATTGACTAGACCATGGCTGCATTGTATAAGCAAATTGTTGGCCTTTCTTTGTGTGGCATGACTCTGTCTTAATGATTGGGGTCTGATTAGATACCCATTTTCAGGTGCTCCACTTTGACAAGGTTCTTTCCGAAAGAGAAGGACAACAATTTGTCTATAAAGTCCAAATAAGGATGTTTTAGTTATTTTTTGCTTTGATGACTGATGGTGTAAACTCGCATATAACTCTCCAAATTTGTGGGTTTGCTATTTCACTACGGGGAAAATTGATGAAGATAACTAGTTTGGTTTTGACCAAATCATGCATAATAAATTATTTTTCTTAAAAGGAAATTAGAATAATACTGTATACCATTTATTTTTTCCAACATCTCCTCTATTAACAAAATTAAAAATTATTCGCGATGGTGTCCATGCAATGAAACGAAAATTTTAAGGTTTCGTGGATGTTGATTTTGGAGCTAGTTTATTATCGTGTGGACTTGTTGTAGTTTGATTTAAATTCTGGTGGATATTGAAATTTTGGTTAAAGTGTTTTAAAGAGATCAAAATGATGGACTGCAAAGAAAAGTCGTTGCATTTTCGCTAGCCATCCGCTTGAGTGCTCCTACATATTTTTCTAGAGCCTCCCTACCGCTCAACTATCGCTCAAGCGACAAGGTTATCAACCGACCCACGTCAGTCCGTGTTTTGACGTGTTTTTGAACTCTTATTTATCTACAACTTGACTTTTATAATTTTATATATATAAGTCATGACTTGTATTGTTCCCATAACATTCATAAAACTTTTTTAGGGCTTTATATATTAATTGAGATCTTGTTATAAACATAATTACTATTAATTATAGTGGATTTTTCCTCCTCTACCTTTGGTTTTTTTTTTTTCTTTCAATCTTGAGTTTCCACATAAATCTTGTTTTTCTTGTTTATTCCATTATTATCATTATCTTGAGATCAATTCGAAACAAGTGATATTAGAGTAAGCTTCATTATTCCACATGACAACAACGAAATATGATATTCCATTATTAGATTGAAGCACGAGATTTACTTTATGACAAGTGAAGATACAAGCAATTCTCGCTCAGATGGATTTGAAGAAAGTCTTGTTTGGTATTGATAAGATACCTTCAACCTGGACACAGGATAAAAAGCAGCGTAGGGATCGAAAAGTCCAATCTTAAATTCATCTACATCTATCAAATCAAATTCTTAGGATGTTCTAAAGGATAAAAATGCCGATGTATTGTGATTGAAGTTGGAGTAACTTTGTATAACAAAGAACTTGACTAGTAAGTTACACTTGAAAAATTGCTAGTATTCTCACTGAATGTCCGAAGGTGTGTCATTGGATGATCCCTTAACTATGTTCAAAGAAATTGTGGTCAATTTAGAGATATTGGAAGTTAAGTAAGACGAAGAGGACTTGGCTTTGATGCTATTGTATTCTCTGCCGCCATCATATGTAACTTTTAGAGATACTACTATCTATAGTTGGGATACTCTTACTATAGAAAGAGGTCTATGATGCTTTACCATATAGAAAGAGGATGATGCATCTTGCTGGAGGATCTATGAGTCAAACTGAAGGCTTGATTGTTCGTGGAAGAAACGGGATAGGAATCTTGGTAGGAATATGAGAGGTTGATTAAAATCCAGGCACGCAAAGAAAGTATGTCAATAAGAAAGGGATTATCAAAGCTGAATGCTACTCATTGCAAAACAGAAATAAAGCTACTGGTGCTACTAAAAAAGGAAAGCAGCTTATAAACGCAGTGGAGGTATAATCTGGATTGATTCCTAAATTAGATGAAGACATTTTTTATATGTCTCGGGTTCTTTATTCAGGGTCTGTGTGTGTGTGTGGAGTTATTCTGTAGCTTAAATTAATAAAAAGTTATGGGTGCCGTAACATGTGTGGTTAAAATTGATATAACAAAATTCTATATATTTTCATATCCTAGAGGAAGGTAAGGAGTAAGGACTAGGTCTTCCTCTACAATTTTTAGAAGGTGTCTCGGGATAAAGTTGATAAAATATAGGAAAAAATTTAATTAAAACTGGGAATCACATGATATGTGTAGTTAAAAATAAAGTTTGACTTATTAAATGTTGGGTTTTTGACCCAAATTAGGCTGGATTTTTGAGGAAAAAAAAATATTTTTCCCTTTGTTCCAGTCATTTTTTATCGTGTTTCCATATTTGTGATATTTCTAGGGTTTGACCTCTTTTCACAAGTTTTGTATTACTAATATATAGAAAAATTGTGTAGGTCCAATTATTATATTTGTTTTCTTCATATTAGTCAATTGAATAAAATATTCTGTTCGTCTGTCAATTAATCATTTACCTTTTATCTTATTATTTATTTGCGATCATATACTTCATATCGTGTCATATGTATTAACCTCAATCCCTTTTGCTTACAAGTATTATTTTCTCGTTTA